ACAAGGCCTCAGAAATTAGTTCTCACCTTCTGCTAACTTTTCTGTTTGCATTCATTTAAATAACACCAACAGATCCTGCTAAGGAGAATGTAATTAGAAACTGCAGCACAGGTCTTACCCAATTCTTCCATTTACAAATATTGACTTAGTGATCGTGATTGTGAAGATCTATATCACTTAAGGAAGAGCTGGGATGTTTGTTTGTTTTTTAATCTGCAGGTGATAGAGAAAACCATGATGACAGTGCTCTGTGACATCCTGGTTAGGTTATTTTATTATTATTATTATTATTATTATTATTATTATTATTATTTTACCTTAATAGTTGCTGGAAAGATTCCGTATACCCACAAATCTTTGCTTACCCAGAAAGTGTTTTCTCAGTTTAGAAATAAAGTTTAGCATTCATTATTCGACCTGGAAGATATTACTTGGGGGGTGGACATAAGGACTGTCTTTCTTTTCAAAAAGTCAAACAGAAAGTAATGTTGTTGCTCTCTTCGTGACCAGAAATCATAACCACAAATGAAGACAAGGCACTGTAAGATGTAGGACATTCAAGAAAAACGGAAGAGATTGCAAAATAAATGATGAAAACACTACTATAAATATGAATGCGTACTTCTTAGTCATGCTCAAAATGGAGGACATTATGGGATTCCTCCTGGACACGTCCTAAAAAAAGTGGATGTCTGGTCATCCTGTCTTCGTGTAACAACTTCAACGTATTCATCAGTTGTTTGAATGAGTTATGGGAGGCTAGCAATCCTGGGGAGGTATTTGGAGGGTAAATCGAAATCTACAAATCTACAAATTGAGACAGTTAGAGGGCATGCAGCCCTGCCAAAGAAATAGCTAGTTCATATTGGGATCAAACTGGCAGGCAAGCACTAGATCATACTGGGATCAAACTTTTCAGGGTTAGGGTTAGGGTTAGGGTTAGGGTTAGGGACTGGGATCAAACTTTTCAGGGGAACCCTATCTATCTGTCTCTTCCTTTCTTGTTCCTTGGAGTCACATAGTTGCTAGTATAAGCATGGTGTCACTTCTTACAACAATTCCTTGTAAAGGGTTTCTAAGGCTAGGTTGCAATAAGCCATGCGAAATCAAGCTGTAGGCCACCAATAGTCCTTGGTTTGCAGAAGCTCCACACCTTTCTCAAAGCTTCCATCTCCGACACGTCTTTGACATTCCTCGTACACATCTCCCCCTTGCACCAGATTCCAATTTCCTCCTTGATTATAAAGACTATATTTTATGTGATTAATGGGAGAAAAATAACTGTTAGAAGCTGTTTACCCAGTGTGAATTAGAACACTAATTAGAAGAGACATGCATGTTAATGAGGAAAGGGAAGTTGATCAGTATGCAACTAAAAGTTCTTCATTTAATTGTCTCTGTGTGGTGTTTGGGGGGGGGGGTGATTTGGATAATGTGTTTTAGATGCCAAAATCCAATTGCCCTAAACTGAAATATCATTCATATGAACAACCTGAGATTGAAATAAAGAGATTATACAGGGGTGCCTATTGAGGCTGACTTTGTATGTTTGGGTATACAGGCGTACCTCCATTAACAAAGCCTCTGACAAAGAAGCTTCTTTCATAGAAACATAGAATTGGAAGAGATCCCAAAGACCATTCAGTCCAAACCCCCTGCCATGCAGGAATACACAATCAAAGCATCCTCAACAGATAGCCATCCAGCCTCTGTTTAAAGACTTCCAAAGGAAGAGACCCCTCCACTCTCCAAGAGAGCACTTTCCACTGTCAAACAGCTTTGACTGTCTGGAAGGTCTTCCTAATGTTCAGGAGGAGTCTCTTTTCCTATAGTTTGAATCCATCATTCCGGGTCCTAGTCTCTGAAGCAGCAGAAAATGCCAAAACCAAATATAAATCCCAGGACTCCATCGGACAGAGCCATGACAGTGAAAGTCATGTCAAACTGCTTTATTTCTGCAATGGACCTGCAGTCATGGTCTGTTCCGTTGAGTTTTGCTTTGCTTTCTCTTGCTTTTCTTTCTGCATGATTTGCCATCCAAATGCTGACCAGTTTCTTATTTCACATCATGCTGCTATTTTTTTCCCACCTGAAAAGGATAGATTATTGCCCAATATTCCCTGTTGGTTTAAATCGCGGCATCGCCTGCAAAAGAATAAAAATAAAAATAACAGAATCAATTCTTCTATGGATTCACAATAAGTGCTGAGCAGCCAGATTCTTTCTCCAGGACACTTGTCTATAGGTGAAAGTTAGAAATGGACAACTCAATTTATTTCTAGCCCATGCCATTTTGCATCTCTTTGGCCCTCAATCCATTATATCCCATTTTCTATGTTTATGGGAGGAAATCTCAGAAAAATCACATTTAAATTGTGTCCATTTTCCTCCAGTGTCATGACTGATTGCTTGAAATAAGGCAAACAAGCAGATTTAACAAGGAATCAAATAAGGGGGAAATGAAAATGGCCTTGCATAGGCTAACCCCCAAAATGCTTACATCTCTATTATCCTGGCACTAGAAAAGTTCCTCCAAAGGAACAAGCTGACACTGTAAAGGTTACATGGCATGCTTTGTTATGCTCCAAGACCAAGAGACTGGGAATTGAGTTATGTAGCAAGAACTAGGGAATGGTTGTTAAATCTTTTGCACTGGAGTTTTGACTTCTATCAAATTTGTTAGCTTCATGAAACTTTTCTGGCACATGCGCTTTGCAGTAGCGACTTGCCAACCTTGGCAAACTATAACAGGATATAAAAGTTCATGGCTCAGGACTCTCATTCTGTTCAGATCCCGGTTTGTCAAGGTGAGAGGCAGAAGTGCATTTCTTCCTCTATATAAGGTTGGATCCTTGATTCACCAGACCAGGTTGTGTCATTTCTCCTAGAGTTAGAAGTGAAAGAAAGCCCTCTTCAGTGTCCATACTCAGAGGTCTTACTTCAGAAAAATATGACCATTTTCATTTACAGTAGAGCTGCGGGAATCGTTTTAGCATGAGATCTGACTTGGTTTTTCAAATGCTCTGGAAGGACTGATCCATACAGATCCTGCTCAAACTAGATTCAAAGGGTTATTGTTATCTGCTGTCAAGTTGACTTCAACTTATCCTATTGAGAGACCTCCACATGGGTCAAATAAAACATTATTATTGTTATTGTTGTTATTGTTGTTGTTGTTGTTGTTATTATTATTATTATTATTATTATTATTATTATTATTATTATTATTATTATTATTACCCCGCCCCTCTGAGAACAATTTTCTCTTCCATTCCTCTGGCAATCAGTCCAAATGCTACAGAACCCAATTCCTAGTTCTGATGAAAACTGTCTGTATAACATCCATGCAGAATATATATATATATAGATAGATAGATAGATAGAGAGAGAGAGAGAGAGAGAGAGAGAGAATGTCCAGTTTTTTGGGGGGGAAACTGTGTGTGTGTTTGGAAATTATTTGCTTCTGAATGTGATAGTGAAATATTATATTCATGGACTGAGATGCTTGATAACCCTGCATAGGTGCTTTGCAATATCACACATATCATTCCTTTACTGAATATTTGTGTAAGTAACAAGAACAGAATAGTAGCAACATAAAATTAGACATAACTCAGTCTCCTGCCTTTACCAATGTTTGCATTCTGTCCTCCTCCCACACCCAATATTTATTCTCTACTTTCATATAAACCTGTAAAGGCATACCTAAAGAATCTTAGCCATTGATCTGTCTTCTGTCAAATATATAGATGGTATCCAAGCCAATAAACAGATCTTCGACATCAAGCTAAGCCCACCTGTTTGGCCCAAACAGAGCCAGAACCATTGAATCAATGATGCTTTTGTCAGTGCTGACTTAATAAACTTCCAAATGACTTTGGCTGGGAATAAAGGAAACAAAAACTGGGGACTACGCAATGAAATCCTGAGAAGAAACTGGAACACATCTCCAGGTGCTCCTTGGATGGATGCTTTATTACTTTAAAAAAGGCCCAATGTATTTAGCCCTCAATGGCCTTCCTTGGGGACTATATCAAATCATAAAAAGTGCCACAGGAGACCATCTGTGTGGCCACTGTGGCTACATCTACACTGTAGAAGTAATGCAATTTGACACCGCTTTAACTGCCATGGGTCGATGCTATGGAATTCTGGGATTTGCAGTTTTGTGAGACATTTAGCCTTCCCTGTCGGAGAGTTTTGGGGCAAATCCCAGGATTCCATTACACTGAGCCATGGTAGTTAAAGCAGACTCAAACTTCACTATTTCTGCAGTGCAGGTTCACTAACCAGATATCTGAATTTACAGGCCAGATTAACCAAGAGAGGTAGACTTTACATTGCATTTGCAGCAGCCATTTTGTTATCTGTGCCATTCAGTGCAAGTGCCTAAAGATTAATGGTGGGAAAACAACCTGGCATTGCAAGAAACACACAGGGGAACAACTTTTTTAATATAAGAAATAATAAAACAAGTGGTCCTTTAGTGAGTCATTTTGTGAAATAGCGTCATCTTGCTCTTGACCTTAGATTTTGGGTTATAGCGATGGTGAATTGCTATGAGAGGTTTCTTTTTTCTTTTTTAAAAAAAGGTAGAATGGATTTTAAAATTAAATTTTTAGTCACTGAAGACCTAAATGGGGATTTTGATTTCCTTCCACTCTTGCAAATTTCCTGAGTGTTTTTTTTACAGTCCCCTTGCCTTCAACCCTGTTACACTGAAATGTCCTCAAATGTTATCTAAAAAATCTTTCCCCCTCCTTGACCATCTGCTGGCATTAAAAAAAAATCCACAATTTTTAGCTCTCATTCCCCTGTCTTCTTTTTGTCCAGTAAATAGTGTGAGAGTTTTCAGCTCCAGACATTTCTGAGGTTAAATTCCAGATCGCTATGTACAGTCCATAGACAGTGTGCAAATGCTGCAATGATTTCATAGAATGCAATATTTTGCATGAATGAATTCTATGAATTTTCATGGAATGTAATATTTTGCAATGAGAGCCAGTGCGGCATAGTGGTTTCAGCATTGGGCTGCAACTCTGGAGACCAGGGTTCGATTCCCAGCTCAGCCATGAAACCCACTGGGTGACCTTGGGCAAGTCACACATTCTCAGCCTCAGGGGAAGGCAATGGCAAACCTCCTCTGAACAAGACTGGCCAAAAAAAAAAAAAAAAAAAAAAAAAAAAAAACAAGGATAGGTTTGCCTTAAGGTCACCATATGACTTGTATATGACTTGAAGGCACATATTTACAGGCCAACAACAATATTTTGCATTGTTTGTGATGTTCATGAACAATGTTTATATGTTATCTCTTTTTTTGTGGGTGTCTCTAGTTTTCTTCTGCAGATCTAGTTGGGAATAGCTGCCATGTCTGCAATGGCCCCAGAGTATCCTGGCTCTACAGTTTTCTTGTTGTGCCCCTTTACTTTGGCTTCCATTTTTGTGCCATGGCAGATGTCTGCCCAAGCATCCTGCTTGGACGCCCAGTGCCTCCGTCATCACTGCAAGTCACTTGCTCCTAAAGTTAGTCACATGCTGGGCATCTCATTCTGACCTCTGAAGCAAGGGCCATATTGCAGTGGACACACCAGGCAGCCCATTGGGATGTCCATGCATACAACCACCAGGTATTCCCAGAAGATCCAGAGCAACTGGTAAGTTATTTAAATTCACTTTAGCCTTGTTATGCCCCAGATCTGGTGTGAGACTTCATCTGAACTACCCTCACCAGAACCAGAAATTGGGCCATGCATCATCCAAGCAGGACAACATCAGAACATGGGTGAAATGGACCTTTTGGACAATGAAGACAAGGTCAGCCAGGGAGTTTAGGCCATTGTCCTCAGGAGGTTTATTTCAAGGGAAAGTCCACCCCATCTCTTGACAAGTTGATGCAGGAAAGGTCCAATGCAAGACAAGTGTCACCATTTACTTAGTGAATGAACTGTTCATTCCTGAAAAGAGTAAAAATGCAGATAAATATTAATCTTGCTCATTATGGCTGTCAACCTGAATATATCCAAGAAAGAAAGAAAGAATTCCTTGTTGCACTATTGATAGAAGAAGCAAACTATGCAATCCTTCAGATCCTTGCTTTAGTGCACCGGTCTATTGAATCTGATTGTTCTTGACGAAAAGGTCAGCTTCTCCAGACGGAAAATGAATCCAAAGGCAAGTTGTTTCCTCTCTAAGTACAGAGGCTCCATTTAAGTCTGCCCCCCAATACATTCACATTCACACACACACACACCTGGTTATTGAAACTGGTGTGGGCGAAGTCACTTTGATGGACTCAGCATTTTTAGCGGGCATTGACAGAAACTAAATTGGAAAGAATGCAACAAATGTGAGGTTTTAGCAGAGTATCGACTTAATATAGATTGAGCAGAGGCGAGCGAGGGGAGAAAAATATTGCGTGGCGTGCAAGTTGGAACTCCATGTTGTCTCATTAAAAGGCTCGGTGACAGATAAGGCTGTCTGTCTGGTTTGCCCTTGGCTCTCAATCAAGCGGATCATTCCTGTAAGGAGCTATAATATCCCATTGCAGGACACTTTGCTAAGACTACCAGGCACAACTGTGCACCAAAAACCGGTGTTATTCTTTGCAAATAAATAAATAACATCTGCAGGTTATTTCAGTGCAATTGCTTTCATTCATCTATTCTAAGGATGTAAAAAAAGTAAAGCAGGTGCCTTCGGAGGACTGTTGCTTATGGCAATCCCATACATTTCACTGGGTTTCCTTAGGTGAGGACTACACATAGGAGGTTTTCCCTTGACCTCCTCTGAAAGATAGCCTGCAGCAATTGGTCTTCCTTGATAGTCTCCCATCCATGTACTAACCAGGACCAACCCTGCACAACTTTCCAGAGTAGATGGGATCTGGTGCATTCAGGCTATTCAAGCAAGAAAATGAGTGTGGCAAGTGTGTAAAAGGCATGTCTTGCAAAGAATTCAGCAGAACAGTTTGTGGAAGGCAGGGAGAAAGAGAAGATAAAGTGTCCGGGATTTTAAAGAAGAAAATATCTGAAGTATTTTGTCATAAATAAATAAATAAATAAATAAAATCACCAATAACCTCAAAATGCAAAAGCAGGACCTTACACCTTGAGGACCAAGGACTTTATCACACATGTCTGGCAAAGAGACATTTCAAATGGATAATATCCTACATGGCTAACAGTTGGAAACAGGATCCTGTAGCACCTTTGAGAAGGAAAGAAGCTGCTAGCAAGAGCTTTCATAGACTTGAGACTACTTCCTCAGATGCATGAGGTATAGCTTCTTCATGCATCTGAGAAAGTAGGCTTGAGTCTACGAAAGTTAATGCTAGCAGCTTCTTTCTTCCAGATAGTCTGAAAGATGCAACAAGTTCCCTTTGCATACTGATTTTCCAGACTAACATGGCTAGGTCTTTGAGTTGGAAATAGATTTGCCAGGTCAGGACTATGAAATTTCAGGTCCAAATATGAGACGTAAGGACAGACCCTGATGATGGTGGTCCCTGCTTGTATAACAAGAAAAATGCTCCTGGTGATGCCATTTAGCATGATGCATCAAACATCAGCAGAGAAGTTCAGAGCATGTCATTCAAATAAAGGAGGGTCAAGTCTAATAAAGTAGAATATAATTCAAAGATATAATTTTGTTAGTCTGTAGAATCAGTATGTAGAGAGATCTTGTAGCACCTTTGAGATTAGATGAAAGAAAGAAGTTGGCAGCATGAGCTTTCGTAGCTTTTGCATCTACTTCCTCCAATGCATTTGATATATATGTGCAGGCACATTTTTAAGAAAGTGTCCTTGCCCTGATATTTCTTCTCCTTGCATTGAGGCCTGGATCCTGAGACTCAGGACCAAGCCCTGAGATCTGGGAGCTCAACTTTGCCAATGAAGATAAGCCACAGTTGCTAAAACAAAACAAAACAAAAAAATCTCCCTCCAGCTCACCCTCCTCCTCTTCGCTCCTGCAGAATAAGCACTGGAAGTGATTTCGTCAGCATGGAATAAATAAAGTAATAACTCTTTGCTTGGAGCCTGCCAAGGAGAGATGCGATACCCAGACAGTTCTCACAAATTGTAATGAGGCCATTCTGACTGTTGTGTGGAATGGGGCAACATATGGCATATTGCTGACTGATGCTGGCAAGGCATCCGATCAGATTCACGTCACCGGCAAGACAATTTCAAAACTGCATCCCCTGGAATACTGAAATGGCAATCTCAGCATGTCCTTTGAAGAACGTCTCGGAACCGCTGGAAAAAGGGACAAGGGGTTTTGTGGCCTTGTCCTAATGTTTTTCTCCGGGTTGTTTTTTCCTCCCTCCCCCCGATTTCTTTCATTCCTGATACTCTCGCGCTGACACAAGGCATGAAAAGCAGGTGCCCTATTTGGATTGCTTCCTTCTGGCTCAGCACAAGCCTCTGGTTTCATTCTCCCCCGTGGCAATGATTGCGGTATCAATCTTGCTGTGACAATAACCAACTTTCAATCTGAAAAGGCCTTGGGGAAAACAATACTTATTCCTGTCTCGGAGGGCTACTCCGGTCATGGTGTAGAACATTTTCTGGCCTTGCTTGAAAGCATTACTGTTCAAGGCCAAGTTTGAGGAAAGTTTTCCACCCATCATTCTGGACGGTTGAGACAAGACTCGCCATCAGGATGCTTGTGTTGGTTTCTTTGCAAGGCTTTGGCACCCCTTTGTGACTGCAGTGTGCCAAGCAGACATAGGAAAGGTCTTCAATTCAGAGGCTCACCTTTAGCAGAAAACAGAATGGAAAAGGAGGGCATGCTTTTGCCCTCTCCTGCCACACTGCAGATATTAACTTTAACTTTGCCATTGCTTCATCCCATGGAATCCAGGGATTTGTAGTATTTGTCTCAGAGTGCACTGAGAGAGAAGATGAAATATCTCACAAAACTACAAATCCCAGATTGAGCCATGGCAGTTAAAGTGGTGTCAGACTGCATTTGTTCTGCAGTGCAGATGCAGTTTAAATTTCATATTGGAGCTACATTGAGGCAGTTGACTAACAACCACAGTATCACTCTCCTCATGGCAAACTGGCCAGTTTTGAGAAAATAGAATGGCAATTTTATAACTCAGGATCTAAGCATGAAGTGTTTTCATATAGAGAATCCTTTCAAACTTTCAAAACCACTGGATTCTTTGTATGTGAGGGAAAGAGTGCTGTTGTCATCATGGAACTGGAGCTGTTGAACTTGGCCAGAGATAATAACAGTGTAGGTCTAGCTCTATCACCACTGTTGCCTGTGTTTCAATTGCCATGATACCAGACAGCTGTTGCTGTTGTTGGTTATTATTATTATTATTATTATTATTATTATTGTTTCCTGCTTTTTCCCCAAAATTGGGACTCAAAGCAGCTTACAATTTTAAATAACAATACAATTAAAAACATACAAAAGTGAGCATTGAAATAGAATTAAACTATTACAGTACAACCCAAGGATAACTGTCCTTGGGTGTATATTCACTAAATGAATCAAACCTTTCAAACAGAGTAGTTTTCCAACTATCGGCAACTGTCAAGGAAGGTTGCATGGAAACTTGGAAGGTCACACCTCCACTGCACCCTTACTCCAATTTTTTTAATTTTTTGGGGGGTGCAAGATGTTTTCTCCATACATCCTAAGGTTATAAGTCCAAGAAAGGTCTTTTTTTGCAACTTGAGGTCAGTTTGTTAGATGTTCAGTTGACCTCCTGTTGGGGAAAAAGCCTCTCCTGAGCCTAAAATCATCTGGAAGTAGAGGAGAAACTAGTGAAATAATGTGGACATTTTTTGTAAATACTTATTGGGAGGAGCTTGCAAGGCTGCATGCAGCTCACATTCCATAATTCCCCCCCCCCCAATCTGCAATCACCAATAAATATTCAAGAGCTGATGGATAATCTTGCTATGTGACAGCACCATTTCTCAAGGGGAATTCTCCAGAATCAAGGCTGAGGGGCATGTGAACTTCCAGATGTTGTTGGACAACAACTTGCATCACTCGTGACCATTGAGAAGAAGCTGACTGGAGGTGGAGTCCAACAACACCTGGAAAA